GTTTGGAGTTAGCCTCGATCCTTGAGGACAAGGATGTGCTTAAAGGGGGCGGGAATAATACGGAAATGGCTAGACGGCTCGAGAACGCCGCAAGTCACGCTTACCATGCACGCAAGCGGTTAACACGAGAGGCAACCAAAGTGCGCGCACGGGAGTGTAGTGCGCGCAAGGCAAGGGTAGAGGACCGGCGCACGGGTGTGCAGACGATAGGCGCAGCAGCTACGGGCGTAGTACGCGGCAGCGGTACGCACGCAACTAGCAAAGGCGCGCGCATGTGCACAGAGGAGCAGCGCACAAGGGACGCGGATGACGCACGCGCGGGGCGCGAAGCCCACTCCTTGAGGAATGCGGAGTGGCGGCAGGTCACGCGCGGACGATGGGCGCACAAAGCGCTGGCATGCGCACCACGTTGGGGACACATCACGCGCGCAAAGAGGCGGTGCCCTAGTCCTCAAAGACTAGGGCGTGCAAGGCGGTTGGCGCAAGGACGGCGTGCGAAGGCGTGCGAGAGAGGAAGAGAGAAAGTTACTTGGAGTGGTGTGCAAATAACTTGGAGATCAAGACCTTCTAGTTTATTAGGATTCTATTAGATATTTACTTTCCTTATTGCTTTTATTTATTAGTAGTAAAAGATACTAGGAGATTTACTAGCATTAGTATTTATTTTATTGCATGAATTAGGAGATCTAGTTAGATTAGAATTAGATTTATTTTGTGCCTATATAAAGGCCCCTTCTCTCTTGTTATTTTTAATAGAATGATAAATTAAATCTTGAATAGTCTTAGTTAGTAGTTAGTAGAAAATTCTGAACTTTTTGTTCAGACACTTTGCTTTAGTTTTCCACCAAAATTCTATTGATATTTTATTCGTTTCAAGAGGCGCGGTTGTGGCTCGAGAAGCACCTATCGGCGATTTAAGGCGCGGGCAAGCGGCTTATCGGCAGTCGGGACACGCGATCTTCATCAGTGTGCGGTCACGCGTGCGTGCGGAGCAGGTCTACTGGGCATTCGCGGGATGCTGCGCGCGTACTCCTTGCGCGCTGGGGATGCGCGGACGGCGACTGGCGAGATGCGCGGACGATCGACAACGAGCAGATGATCGTGGGACCTCACGGGCGTCGCTCGAGGATGCTGCTGGGAGTCGGCGTCGGGCCTGGCTGGTGCACGGCTGCGAGCGTCAGCTTGCGGTGGCGATCGGCTGGGCCTGGCTGACTTACGGCGGTGACAGGTGGTTTCCGGCGGTTGTTGACGGCGGCGAACGGCGGCGACAAGGTGATGATGATGACCGAAAAATATAAATATAAAGGCTCGAATAAATTGTACCCAAAAGCCTTCTAACGGATTACCTAAACACCTACTTCAATTAAACTTGGTGGAGCGTTTAACCGAATCTCCCTAACTCTCGAACGAAGCTATTTCTCACGTGTATGTAGATGAGAAAAATCAGCCAACATTACTTGTAGGAGAGGTTGGGACATGGCGTATTTATAGGCTCCATTAGGGACCTTAAGGATGCGCTAAATATGGGCTTATTCCATTAGGCCTAGGAATCCTAATTCTATTCCAATACTAATTTAATGTAGGAAGGAAATCTCCTACTAATCTACTCCTTCTAGAAGACTCTTAAGTCTCCCAACACTAGAGAAGATCCTTGTAGGAATATCTTTCCTAATTAAATTAATAATCATGGAATATAATTAATTCCTAATTTAGGAAACCTAATTTTACTCCAATTAATAATATAATGTAGGAAATATATTTCCTACTAATCTCCATCTTCTAGAAGACTCTCAAATCTCCTAATCCCAAGAGAAGATTCTAGTAGGAATTTTATTCTCCTAATTAATTAATTAATATGAAATCAAATTAATTCCTATTTAATAGAATTAAATAATAAAACATCCCACTAGAGTAATATTATTGCTCTCCTCATTTAGCCACTATTTTACCAATAAAATCGAGCCTTCATAATTAAATAATATTAATCCGATTGATCGATTTACCTCCCCATGTTTAAGATATAATGTCAGTTGATTAATTAAATTGCTGACAAAATAATTAATCAACTTCTTATTCATTTCCGAAATTAGTACCACTCAGACATTAACCATTATGCCAGACAATCGTCTACCTGCAGGGTAGACAATCGTCTACCTGCAGGGTTTAACATAATGTTCCTTCCTGAGCTCATTTTGGGGACGTCATCAATCCAGCGCACTGGAACATAGTGACTGTAAATAATTTATAATAGCACATCATATAATTATTCTTACTTACCAAAGTACCTCGTATGTCATCCTATTAAAATAGGAATCACTTGGTAAATCAAATTAATAAGAAATAAAAATATATGCCTTTTTTATATTATCTTACAGCTTAAGAGAACGCATCA